CTCATTCAATCCCCATCATGCCCATTTCACACCAACGCGGTTCCCGTTCTAGCTCCGTGCTAGAGCTTTTCTGGTTCGGAACCGGTTTTTCTTTTCAGCCACCGTTTTGTTCACACCGCCCAGAGCCCGACTGGTGCTGCCGCTGCTGCGTCATGACGTCACCGTTTACGTCGCTGATTTTCTCCCCAACGGCCTTCACTACAACAACAATGGGGGACTGCGTCGGGTCGATGATCGTGTTGCTCCATACGAAGCCAGATTAAATTAAATAACGACTTCTCCAACCTTATACTTTTCTCCAGAGTGCTGTGGTTCATTGTTTATTAATGTGTTTCAGCGGCATTTACCGACCGCTGCAGTGCTGCTCTTCCACCGGAGTTTATTCTCCCGTTAGCTCCGGGTTAGCTCCGGGTTAGCTCACACGGCAGCAACCGAAGCTAAACTGACTATCTTGACTACTTGTTGTTGCTATCCTATTGTGGCATAAGCCGTTTTCTACAGGCACATTTTACCGGCGTATTTTTCATTATGATTCTACTTGTGATAGTCGGACATGACAACCTGTGCAGCCCATGTATTGATTCCATCCGATAGCTGCTATAATACAAAACAAAACGTCTGCCTGCTCTCCACAATGATCAATAACAGCGAACGGATGGTCAAAGTAAGGTACAAATAAACAGAATCACACGAAGCCTCGTTAGTGTTGCCTGACTTTATAAGTGTGTTTTTTTTTATAAGTGTGTGGTTGCGTTCTAGTCACTTTGCTCAGCGCTACTGCTTGTTACAACTTTTATTTGCCGTACTAGCCTTTAACTGTTAGCTCAGGTTAATCTCGCCCACCTCCAACGTAAGCGTGACGTATGCGGTTCTTGCTTCAAAACCGACAATATTTTGGTGCTTGAAACTAACCGGATTCCGGAGATTATAGGCGGCTCCGCTGCCGTGTGAACAGGAAAAAACTGTGCTTTTCAGGCTCTAGCTCCGAACCGGCCCTGGAACCGCATGGATTAGTTTGTCGACAGAAACGATCAACAGTCTTGGTAATGAATTCACGTTCCTTGTTTTAGCTTCAACAATAGTTCCAAAATATGTGCATTTTCTACTTTAGGACAGATTTTATAAACGTTTTTGTCATTGTGCCAAATACAGGAACAAGCCAATGAAATAACCATACCCAGAACTGCATATGAATTAATCTACTTATAAACCATTTAAATTAGAAAAAGTTACTTGATCCATCAAATATTTGCCAAAAAAAAGCAAACAAACAAGGTTAATCCATACTGAAAATTATAGTAAATTGCAGCTCGAAACAGAAGAGGTAAGAATACGAATACATTTCTGCGATAAGCTTTGCTTTCTCACTTATTCTGGGACATCTAATTAATCATTCCAGAATAACAAAGTGTGTGTGTGTGTCAGTGTGTGAGTGTGTGTGTACGTATGAGAACGAAAAACGACTCAATATCCTGCGGCGCTGCACGTATTGCTGCACTGTAGGTGGCTGTTTCCTGTTTTGCCGTGTCATTAGTTTGTTATCAGCTACTGGCTTACAGGTGACTCATGCACACAATGAACAATGACACCATATATCAAGCGGTCGCCTGCCGACCAGCAAAGCTCAGTCTGACAGTGCAGAAAGACGAGGCTGTTAGAAATCTTGGAAAAGACCAGACGCTGTGGGGAGCATCGTTTTACCGAGCGTTCTTTTAGAAACTCCACAAGGCATCAAAAGTTACAAAAAAGTGCATCTTAGAAACTAGGGGAGTCTGTCCTTGCTTTAATAGGCGCTTTCACACCGGAGTACTTTTCCCAGGAATAGTTTGGATAGTTCCTGGGATTTTGCTTTCACACCAAAAAGACCTGGAACTAGAACTTTTGTTTGCCCCTTTTTTAGTCCCTGCTAGAGAGCATGGACTTTCCTGGGGAGAAAAAGGTTCCAATTTCTGATTGGCTGGGCGAATTGCAAACCACGCCCCGTAAAACTCTGAAAGGTTTTTGTGAAGCCCCCATTTTATTTGCTCGCATTAGCATTATTAACATTAGCATTAGCCCAGCGCACCAATGGAGAGAGACTAACTTATGGCACCACAAAAGAAAACATGGGAGCGGTGGAGAGATGAGGAGGTGTCGGCGATTTACTACATAGTTCCAGGAAATAAAAGTTCTGGGAACTATTCCTGGGAAAAGTACTTGGTGTGAAAGCGCCTATTATCCCTGAAGTACTTTGGAAAAGCAGAGAAAGTGTTACTCGCTGCAGCCAAAAGCATTGTCAGAGTTTGAGAAAGAAAACCAGAACACCTTTTTGTGTCAAGCCTTTAACAGAAGAAAGGACAGCTAGACTTGACGCGTGGAAAGGCATTCCAAATCTTTGCTATTCATCATCATAAGTTAAGAGAAAACATTTGTCTGTGAAAAATGTATTTTCATGCCTATTCAACAGCCTCTGAAATATGTATTTACCATGCTTTGTCTGCAAACACCTCCCAAGAACTTTTTTGGGCTGCTTTCAGTTTTCTTTTAGGGAGCGACATTTTTTATTTGTCATACTAAAACATCTCTATAAATGTTTCTTCATTCCTGTATTCAAGATCATGATAGCCTTTCAAAATGTTTTGGTTTAACAGCAAACACAAATGGGACCAGTCTTGTTGGAATGAGTGATTTTGATGTAGTTAAGTCGTAGTCATAACACTAAGCAAGAGATGTTTTTGTGTATCCAAATCAAGTATAAACCAATAAAAATTGTCTTTTTTTATTTATTTTTCACAATTCTTTCCTGAAATTATAAATAATAAATCATAAAATATAGTGGATAAAATAATAATGGTGCTCTTTAAGCATATTTGGTTTCCTTTGTTACACAAGTCTGTCAAGTAGAGTCAAAAAATACAAAACTTAACAGTCAGATCCTTTTAAATCAATATGATAACCATCTTCAGTCAAACAGCTAAAATGTATCTGCAAATAAATAGATCACTGTTCATTTGCCAAAACAACTTTTGTGCACCACATGTAGTTTTTCTCCTTTCCTTTCCAGTTAAGGTCCTTACACACCAAACTGACACCAAAGAACACCAAAGAACACCAAAGAACACCAAAGAACACGTCCCGACGGAACGTCGCCTCACGTCGCCTCACGTCTCCTGCGTCTTGGCCATGTTTCGAACTGGCACACACCGCAAAGACTTCAGCCGACGGCCAAGTTGCACGTACGAACTGCGCATGCATGAGTGGCAATAACTCTCCTTACCAGCAGGCGTCGGTAGTGTGTATTCGTCATTCAAAAGAGGCAACAACCAGAAGACAGACTGCGTGATACACCGAGAGAAGAAGAACAGACTGCGTGATATAAACAAACAACAAATAGCATGTGCGTTCCATTTTCACTCTACAGCGAGAAGCTCATGGGGCTTTCCCGAACCTGTGTCGAGAGTTGGAGTTAAATGAAATCTCAGATTTCTTAATAGTTTGTTTGGGTCCCTCACTTCCGTTTCGCTTCTCATGCACTGATTCGCTAAGCTGAACAGCCAATCAGAGTGATTTATTTGGCCGACGGCCTCCCGATTTAACATATCGAATCGGCGGCAGAATGTGTCGGCACGGCCGAAAAGACACGACGGTGCAGTACACAGCAAGACACACCAATCAGAGTAGGGCGACACGACGCTCATCGACGCCGAAAATCGGCTTGGTGTGTAAGGACCTTTAAGTTAAAGTTTGGATAAGGCAAGTAAAACAAATGCCTTCATCGCTTCTCAAGGAGTCCCATGCTGTCCAGAGTGACCTCTCTTCCAAGCTAGATACCTGTGGTTTCCCTCTATTGTGTTGTCAAGCCAGTGTCGAACCATTTTCACACTAAAGGAGCCAAACCAAAGCCTTTTTTCCTGCCAACAACCACAGCTGCCAAGGCAGCAACACTGGGAGGTCCACTTTATAGGAGCGAGTTACTTCTGTGAAAAGGGCAATAAGAACATTTTGCACCTTGTGCTCAGCTGTGTGAGAACACATGTATCTGAGAGTGGGTTTCCTGTTGGAATTAACTTTCAGACAACGACATGCAGATACAGACAACGACTGGCATTTTCACTAAGCTAAGGGGAACGTTAAAGATGGAAGTTATTTGCACTCAAAATCCTCTAAAATTCTGAGTAATAACAACATGTGGGCTGTAAAGACATGTGCCTGTGTGCCTTTGAGAGTGCTTTTGAAGGTATCATCGATTAATCACAGCACACCTACAAGTTCATCACCATAATCCTCAAATACCTCTACACACCACTGGCACAGCCTATTAGGTTGCTAAGCCAACTGCTGCCAAGCTGACAGACACACTGATTAAGATTAAGTCTGGTTTCTGGAGCTGAAAAAGCTGTAAATCTTAAATGTACACAGCAGAAAGAGGGAGAGGGGTGGGGGAGAAAGATCACACTCCATTGCATTGCTTCAAAGGAAACTTCAAAACAGTGACAGGGCACATGGGAGACCAAGCCTCCCAGCAGGTCATGCCAAAATAAGCCTGGACAGAACAAAGTCTGCACGTTTAGACTCCAAGGTGCTTTCATAACTGTCAATCTATTTCTGAATACCACTGTAGTTAGTGAGTGAAATAGTCTGTTTCACACCACGTTACGCCTCAAATTGGTAATTTGTTAAGCTATTCTCTCTGGCTTCAGTGGGAAAGGTCACCAAGTTAATGCAATAATGTTTATATTCCACAATTTTCTCTATCAGAGGAAGTGTGAAACTAAAGTAATAATGTAATAATTAACTCAATCGGCTCAAATTCCCAAAGTCTTCCATCATAATTAACTTCACAAGGAAGGACAGATGACAGTTGAAAAGTTGACACACTTCCTGACAGCTTGCTGTTTGGTCATTCATACACATGCCGAATACAGTAGTGGACAAGTGTTCATCTTAAACATCTCTTGTGGTATCCTACCAGTCATGTTTATTGGATATTAATGAATATAATGGGAAATAAATGCACTAACCCGTATTCTTCTCATGGCAGCCACTATCTCCACTCGGCTGCTCGGCCGCGTCACATCCAGACTGCCGATGTACTGTTGCCGGGAAGGTGAAATATGACAGGTACAACACATTAATGAGACCATAGTTGGCATTCACCTGTATTGTATTCACTCAAACAGTTCAAGTGTCCACTTTATGTAATAAATAACTCAACTTAAGTCTCTCAACTAGCTAACAATTTACTTTAGGTAGGTTAGCTAACTTTAGTTAGCAGACATCTCTTGGGGTGGATTTACCAAGAGAGGTGACTCACTTTATATGAGTAAGCTTTAGCAGTTTAAACACCTTCACAGAGTACTACAGTGGGGGCTGTTTGGACAGGTTGGCTAACAAAGACAACGAAAACATATTCGAGACGTATCGAGATCATAACAATTCCCAGTTGTTAGTGCATTTACCTTTGCCTCGAAGTTGATCCCATGCTGGAACGCTTCCTCGTTGTGCAAAGGGATCCTCAAATCATGCCCATCATCAACGAGGTTGTACTTGGTTTTTGCAGGCATTTTGAAAGTATTCACCACTCCACACTGACAGTAAAACCAGGATAAAATGAACGGGAAACGAACCGGGTCGGTTAAACGGGGAGTAATCCAAGAAAAATAAAAAAAATCCAAATCCGGTTAGTGCATGCTCTCCATCGCAGCGAACCGTCCCAGCGCTGGCACGTTACACCGCCCACAACAGCGGCCAAGTGGCGGTAACTCCTCCAGCAGCGCTCCAGCGCACCGCTCCCCTGCTAAAATTCACCGGAACAGCTTTAAAAACACATGCAGAAATGCAGAAACAGCGACATGCGGGGACAGATGTGTTTTCCCGACTTTTCCTGTGTGAGTGTGGAAGTTGGTTGGGTCCTGCCCGCTCTCCCCCCCGGGCACAGAGGGAGGATGTGATTGGAGGAGGCCGGGGATCCCACCTGCTTCCATTGGAACAGAGGCGCACCGTGGCTCCGAGGAGGAGGGGCTCAAAGGCTGGTACCTGCCCCCTCCCTTCCCTCCACAAACACACACACACACGCGCGCACACATACACACCGTACATTCTTGGGAATAACCTGAATGTCCCTAATGCAAACAAAGGAGTGGTGTAGGCGACAGTATATAAATACATATCTGTATACTTTGGCTTTGTTATTAACAGATGTAATACAGCTGTTTTTTATGCAGAGTATGTACACTAGAAATAATACCAGCTCGCAAATCCAAGAGGAATTGTCATTTGTGGGTTAATATGCAAATGTAAGAAATGATCAAATATACTGACTCTAAGATAAGATGATAATTTATGGGAATCAAACTTATTGTGTTATAATGAGGATAAGACATGTTAAAATGAATTTACAGATGTGGCTGATGTGTAGTAAATAAAAACCTTTGCCTCTGAATGACATAAAAAAGAGCAAGGCTGCCAACTAGTGGCCACATCTGCAAGAATATAATAGAGATATCATTAAAAATAAATACTAAGAATAAGATGTGATGTGATTTCTTTCAATAATTGTTTTCCGTATGCAAAAATAAACAACTATGAATGCATGAATTGTTAAACTCAAGGCTTGTATACATTATTTATGAATGACTCAATGCTCATGAGATAAGAGCACAAAACCTGTTTTAAAGCAACATTGTCTCTAATGTTTCGTTTTTTCTTGTTTTTTACATACACATTAACTCGTGAATATTAATGTTATATAAATGTTCCTTAAACATCTTAATTTTGTTCCATGTATTTTTGTTTTTGTATCATTATTGAACATGCTGCTTTGATAATCACAAGTGAGGGAAGACTGAGAAACACAACACCTAAAGCCTCACTTTTTAGGGTTTCAATGGAGTGTGCTCACCTTAATCTTAAAATGAAAACTTTATTGATAAAAATCAAGGACATCTATTCAGAACTTATAAAGCACTTGAACAAAGAAAACCTCAGATCCTGAATAAAAGTATGCTTCAACAAAAATCACATAGATTAATAGATGAGCTATGTCTTCAACCTTCTGCAAGTTCAGTTACATCAAAAGAGAAATTAGAGGTTCATAATTACAGTAATAAGGGTCAAAACATATTTAAAATGCCGAACAATGCTGCAAAAAGAGGCGTCTAAAGTAGCTCAAATATAATCAGCCATAACACAATGTGATTAATTGAAGTTATGTATATAATGATAATATTTGTAGCTGATAATTCAAAGAAGGTTCTTTCCATTTGCACCATCAACACAGTCTGTTTTATAAGCATCTGGACAAACAAGAGAGATGTTCCAGTCATATTTGGTCAGCAGACAAAGCAGAGCTTCATATTTAATGCAGTAATAATGTTGTATAATGCACACACCATCTGTGTCACCCTGGGAGTAGGGATGCTGCTCTCCCCTTAAGGTGGTCCCAGGCGTGGAGAGAAGGGGAAGTGGGGCAGCAGTAATTCACATTCTCACCACTTCTTTGGAAATATATAGTGAACTGCTGTTAATGGTGTCCCGCAGGCTTATACAGTAGGAGGAGGATGTTGCATGCTGGATTTTCTGGTAATGGATTCAAAACTGGCTTTAAAATGTTATATATATATATATATATATATATATATAGAACCATTCATCTTTATTATTCTGTTGCTTCAATGGGTGGAGTCAAATAAAAAAATGCCCTATTATGCTAATTTCCAAGATCATATTTGAATTTTGTACTTATACTGTGACATGTTTGCATGCTTTAATTTGCAAAAAAATGCTTCAACTGTATCATACTGCCTGTTCTACAGCACCACTTTCACCCTCTGTCTGAAACCAAAGCCTAGTCTGCTCTGATTGGTTAGCTGGCTGGCTCTGTTGTCATTGGTTTACCGCTTAGAGCAGACCCGCCCCTTAGCCTATCACATATAATGTGTTGGAGCACTAGCCAATAGAAGCGTGAGTGTAGTGATGTCACTATTTTACGGAAGTAAACAAAGGAATCCAATCGAGGTGTTTTAGGCAGTGAAGGAGCATGTGGGAGAGAAACTCCCTCTAGAGGGAACTTGATTTTAGCCTCTGCAGATCATTCACTACAAGAAAGGGAAACCTCCAAAAAGCATAATATGACCTCTTTAACATCATGATTCATAAAAATCAATTCCCACATTTGATCTTTTTTTTTAATATAATTCAAATATGAGATCATGTTACATTTTTAAACGAGTAAGCTTTTAAGTAGCTCTTGATATTGAGGCCGATACAACACTTTATTGCTATACTATTGCCATTGTTTTCTATTTTCAGTATTTTCAAGGAAAAAAGGTATTATTACTGAATACAACTATTCCCCTCTCTTGGACCCATGTTGTGCTCATTAAGACTCTTTACAAAGGATAGAGAGCCTCTAAATCCCTGCCAGGTTTTTTAAATGTTGATCTTTTAATAAGGGCTTTGGCTTTTTAAAACATATGCTCCTGACATGAAGTAGATTTTAGAAATCATTGCACAAAGTCTCCATGGTTCCACTTAAAAGCCAAAAGGTCACATGATAGGACTTCACAGCCGCACAGCAAAAAATAGGCTAGTCTGCAGAGAACTGACTGAATTGGTGAGCTATACCACAAAAGAAACCTGTGTGTTGCCGTGTCTTTGAGTCTGTGGAGGAATACCAGTAATCCTACATATGACACTGTGCTTGTTACAGGTATAATCATGTGCTTTCCTTCTGGTGAAGATGTGGTCAAATAGGAACTGTTTGAGGTGAGCTGTTTAGGCTTGACTTTGTTGACCTGTAATGGGTGCACACCAACTCTTGCCCAATGCACAAGCTCCAGCTTCCCATACAAAATGGCTAGAAAATCAATGGATAACGTCAGTTTTAAAGGTAATGTTCATGTGTTTGTGTTTGCGAGGATCATAATCCCAATGTGGGAGAAATTATAAGACTATAAAGGTTCCATGTAACAATTGGAGATAGCCACCATGACACCCCCAATGGTGTGTGGACTATGGTTTTTGTATTTTGACAGTCACCATCTTATTTTTTTGGAACCAGAAGTATTAACAAGAGGACGAGAAGGTGCAGCTATAGTATGACCGAATGCTAGGTGACAAAATTGTAACTTTTTCAGTCAAAAACTAAACTGTTCTCTTCAGTGGATTAATGGGAACACACTGGTGGCGTGTTTCAGTGTGTAACAGAACTAGTTTTCTTTTGGTGCCAACACCATTCAGTGTGAGGTCAGTGTGTCAGCAGGAGCCCTGAAGCTTGGTTACTCTCTCTATATCAGCCACTAGCAACAACAAGCACACACACACAATCGACTGTGTGTGTGTAAAGACTGCCCGGGCCCACATATGCACACATCAATGGACACACACACGGAGCTCAACACATCTTGAGGGCCTCTTAAGATGAATTAATAATGGCGATTTCAAAGAATTTGGGGCAACGCGAGGAGTAGATTCACTTCTCCTAGGAGAGTTTCAGAGAGGAAGACAGACAAGTAGGGAACAAATGATGACAACAATGACACAACATTGCTAATTGTGCCTGAAGCTGTGTTACAACATTTACCGCGACAGAGAAAACGCAGCTCACACTCAGGTAGATTAGGACACAAAAAAATCTGCCTCTGATACACAAACAAAGACTTGGCATCCGACAAAATCCATTATCTGCGTACGATCAAGGCTCTTACATCCCAGCGTTAATTAAATAATTAGCTCAGACTGCAGTCAAATGTTTGGGTGGGCACTGAAAGGAAAGTTGGGTGAAGCTTAGTATCTTTTCCCCTATAGTTATGTACTTAACGCAGTGTTTGAATGGCTTAGATATTTGGTAAAGAGGATTCCTACAAAGAAATGTTTGGTTCAATTAGGCTTTCAATCCTTCAGCGACTCAAGCAATTACTTTTTAGAAGTTGCATAATGTCTACCAAGTCGATCGTCATCCTCTTTGTTTAGCACGTTGGCATGGAAACATTTCTAAACAAGCAATAAACAGAAAGTACATCAGGGGCTGATGTGAGTGTCATTTAGCCATAAACCAAAGGAGTAGGATTAAATAAGTGTATAAATAAACACAGAAATAAGTTACTATGGAATAAAAGAAAAAGAAAAAAAATACAGGAGTACATATATAAAAGAGTAATCAAATGCAGTACTAAATAAATAATTGAAAATAAGTAAATAAATACATGCTGAAAACATTATAAACACAAAAATAAAAGTTTAAAATAAAACATACAGATACATACATATTTAATTTATAATTGCATTTACATGTATCACTTACATGTATTTCTTTCACATGTATATTTATTTATTCGATGATGTGGGTGGTCCTAACCTCATTCTGAAACAGGATTGGTTATTGATTGATTTCGCTCCTCTACTTCTTCCTGGCTAACAATGCTTCGCCAGTCACAAACAATAAAAAGCATCAATTACAAGAATAGCATTAGCAATATATATTTGTAATATAGATCCTTTCCACTTTTACATGTTGCCTTTGTTCAACCTCTTTTCCAGCGATAGTCTTTCTCTTTCTGGAATGATCTTGGTCCATAGCAAAGGTCCCCTATTATACTTTTTTTTCATAAATAAATTATAGTTCTCATTTATATACAAAACATGTCTCTGAAGTGTTTGGCTCGAAATACCAAACAGATCATGCATTATAGCATCGCATAAACCCCTCTGTTTCAGCCCTGTTTCAAAAGGGCTGATTCTGGGTCTGTAGCTTTAGATGAAAATAAGGGGCCACTCCCAATGCCCCTCTGCGAGATATTTGGTTGCTCTAGGAGGAGATTCAGGTGATAAGGTGTGGGGGGGGGGGGGGGGGGGGGGGGGGGGGGGGGGTTACCTTGGTTAGTTATTGGCTAATGGTTACACAAGCCAAAACATCGTTATGACA